GACCTCTACTTGAACTGTCTGAATTTCCAGCCTATACAGGAACTATTTCTCATGTTTCTGGCTAGCAGAGTGCAACATGGAGGTCCCACCGAAATGGTCCCTGCTGGAGACCTCTTTTTTCCTTAGCAGATGGTTGTCTTCTTCCAGTGTCCTCAGAGAAGGAACAGTCTTCCTTTTCTTATATAGCCCTCATTCTTGCTGGATTAGGACCCTATCCTTCTGGCCTCATTTAACCTTACCTCCTGGACTCTAACTCCAAATACCCCCTCAGTGAGGACTAAGACATCAATGCATGCAGGGTTGGTAGGTCTCATGACCTAGGGAAAGTCCCTGAATCACTTTATTCTTCATCTGTAAAATAGGAGACTAGAAGGAGCTATCCCACAGAGCTGTTCACAGAAGGCTTAGTAGTGCCTTGGGCATAGGAAGTGTCTAGCAAAAAGGGACTATAACGAGCAGTGGTCATTAATGACTTATGTTGGACTTGCAGGGGAGTAGACCTTCTCCAATTGGAGAAGGAAAGAAATATTCCTGAGAATAGAATATATAAAGGCCTGGAAGCCAGCACATTCCACCTAATACAGTGGTTATATGGGACAATAGACTGTACTAGGTGAAGTCCATTTTTCTTGCAGAATTTCAAACATTTCTGACACCTTCTCCTGCATGGTCTTCTAGGTCTCTGACTCCAGCACACACCACCAGGCAGCTTGCTTCTTTAAATTATCAACTCACTCAAAATCATACAGCTGGCTCCAGACTCCATTAGGAGATTGACAAGGGTTGCTTGTTTTCTCAGTCTGCTCCCCTGACACACACTTTTGCTACCAGGGCATCTTTTGTCCTAAATCCTTTATTTAAGAGAACTCATTACTCAGTGTGATCCCTCAGTGTCTGTTTAGCTTTTCCAGGTGATGGCATACTAAGAAAAAAAAAGCTCCAAGTGGCCTGAACTGACCCCCCTGAGTTCCTAGGAGAGCAACACCCAACCAAGACATTGATCAAGGATAAAATTTAGGAAGTGTGTTAGTTTTCTATTGTTGTGATAAACATAATTACCAAAAACAGTTTGGGGAGGAAATGGTTTATGTTGTCTTCCAGGTTGAAGTCCATCAAGGGAAGTCAGGGCAAAAAGGCCAGAGAAGAGGGCTATTTGCTGGCATGCTCCCATGGTATGCTCAGCCTCCTCTCTCAGAACCAGCAGCCCAGGGGTGGCACCACCCACAGTGCACTGTGCCCTCTCATATAAATCCTTAATCAAGAAAATGCACCACAGGCTTGCCTGCAGGCCAATTTGACAGAGGCATTCTTAGTTTCCCTCTTCCCCGAGGACTCTGGCTTGTGTCAAGTTGACAAAAACCTAACCAGCACACAAATCTACCTATTTCTGAAATTTGGAGAAGTTACTATGTCTGTAAGGAGAGCCCAGAGGAAAGAGCCAATGCATTTCAGTGTTTCAGTGTTATGCTACATTGTATATGTTTCTCTTCCTAAAGGACTTTCCTTCTCAGTATATACCTTTGGTTGATTTAGTGCCGGGTTACTCTTTGTGAAAACAGCTAGCATGTTGAGTAAGAAACCTACCCAGCCTTTGGATTTTTGTTTTGAGACTGGCCTCAAACTTGTGATTTTCCTGTCTCAGTCTCCTAAGTACTGGGATTATAGACCATGTGCCAACATGCCCATCCAGTGTTTGAGTCCATGTAGGCCATCATCCCCACACATGTTGCCTACTTAGAGCATGACAGACACAGCTATTAAAAGAGGATCTGATGTTAATCTAAACCAGCACCGTCCATACTCTCAGAGTTTACAGTCAGGTGGAGGAGGCAATTTTCAGAAAGATTCCTGGTCCTCCCCCCCTCCTCTTCCTCCTCTTCATTTTCTGACATAGAGTCTCTGGCTGGCCTATAACTCACTACACAGACCAGGCTGGTCTTGAACTCACATAGATCTGTCTATCACTGCCTCCAGAGTACTACGATTGAAGACATATGTCAGCATGACTGGCCTAAATTATTCTTACATGGGATAAAGCAGTAATTTAATGTTTTATAATCCATAAGATGGTAATGCATTAATGAATCACAAAATTAACTTACTGGCCATAGTGAGCACCTTAAAAACAGAACCATCTGCTGGAAACAGAATGGGAAATTGTGAAGGCAGTGATACACTGTGGTCAGTGTTTTCAAATTTTACATAATATTCCTTGGATTTCTTGAATTGTGTGGTTTTTCTTTTTTTGCATGAAACTATACAAATCAGTATTATTATGAGTGTGGATTAGGGAGTTTCAAGTCTTGCTTCTGCTACTCAGCACCTGTAATGATCTCCTACAATCCTGCTTGCCCAGTGGGTAAGGTGGGAATAATTGCAGTAATACTCAGTTTCAAGGATTAAATGAGGCAATATGGAGCTTGGTATCTAACACCTAGGAAACATTAGCCATTGTATTTCTTTACTTTTTAAATTTCTCTCTAGTATTAGTTTTTTTTTTTAAGGGAAGGGCGGGGCTCTATTCAGGTTGCTAAGTAAAACCAAAGGAAATATTATGTGTGTTGAAGTAAAAGACTCTGGAAAGTAGATAGCTAGGGGCAACAGATATCAAATGAAAGAATCTCAAGGATAAAGCCCCACCCCCCAAGACTATAATGTTTAGTGCTTCCAGAGCTGAACCTGGAAGGCAGCTCTGCCTGCAGCCCTTCCCTCTAATATGAATACTTTCAGTGCTAGCTTCTCATTACTCATTTAGACCAAATTCCAGCTTATACAGAAGCGCCACCAAATCTTACTGTGCTTCTATGTGAGTATATTTTTAAAGGCAAATGTATCCCACATTAAAGATACTTCACATATTTAGATTGTACTTCTTAGCCATTTCCTGAAAAATTCTATTTGACATTCAAGTTCCCTTCTCAGTCTTTTTGTTTATCACATTTCCTTCTTTTTTTGCAGGAAGAAATACATATTTCTAAAAATACACTTGTGGGACGGGGAGATGGCTCAGTGGGTAAAGCGCTTGCAAGGACCTGAGTTAAAATCTTGAGAATAACTACAATCTGTAATCGAAGTGCTCCTGTAGCAAGATGGGAGGAGGAGCAAGGAGAATCTCTGGCTAATTTACAGCCCAGCAGCAAACACAGAGAACTTGGCTCAAACAAGGTGGAAGTCCAGGTAGGACCCACAACTCAGGCTGTTCTCTGACCTCCACATATATACCATGGTACACATAGGCCTGCACACACACACACACACACACACACACACACACTTGAACACAAATCCTACAAAACAAACGAACTTGTGGCATTAGGGGAAAAAACACTGAATAATCAAATGATCAAAGAATATTCTTTATCATGCCCTATACTAAAAACATTTAAAACATTTGGCACATATGATTTCTACTCTTAAAAAAATTAGATGCCTGTGGGAGAATCTGAAACATTAGCTGGAAGATCACTTAGAAAAATTCCTGTTTAGAGAAATGATATAGAAGCCTTGATCTTAAAGTTGTTCTTAATGAAAAATAAATACCCCTATTTAGAGATACGTGAAAGTTTTTACAACGCTAATTTTTCTATATTGTTGCACAAAATAAAAGTATTGTTAAATTATGTATGCTCTCCTGCTTCTTCTTAGAAGCTGATTTTCAACCAGGTCCCATCTCTGTTTAAAAGCTACCAGTTTCCCAGTCATCACTCCCAAGGAAAAGTGTAAACAGACCATTGTTTTAGATTTAAATATACACAGGAGCTGCCCTGCAAAACCTCTGACCTGGCTATTTGTCTCTAAATTATAAAAAGTGATCCTCAGTATTTTCAATATTTCCTCTTCTAGGTGCTAGTTTTTTTCCCCAAGGCATTTTATGTTTGCTGCAAGACAATTTGAACTGCTTGTCTTTTCTGCTTAACCACAAGGTTTACTTTTTTCTGCATGAAGGAGTAACATGGGGCTTCTATGAAGCCGAATTCGTCCTCAGATTCTATGGTCCACTCTCTGCCTTCACTTTCTTTGCAGTGGTCTTTTAGCCAGAGCTAGAGCCGGGTTTTTGTCACGTGGGAAGGGAGGCTGTTAAGTTTACTCGGGTCACTACTTGTTAAACTTAACAGGTGACTTGTAAAAGGTTTCCTTGGGTCAAAAAGGGAAATGCAGTTGGAAGGGTAGAAGAAGAAATTCCTCCAGCAGAGGGAAGTTGACAGTGCCCTGGGAGGGAGGGGCCGCTCCGCAACAGTAGACCCGACGAGCCGGAGCCGGAAGGGCGTGTCTCGGGGGCGGGGCTTACCCGGACGTGGGCGGGCCGCGCATAGGCGGGGCTCGCTCTGGTTGGGCTGGAGAGGGCGTGGCTTGTCTAGCTGGGCGCGGGCGGGAGGGGCTTGAGGGGGCAGAAGTGGGACAGCGCAAGGGCCCATGGGAGCGTTGCCCCTGTGACCCGGGCGGAGAGCCCATAGGCCCCTGGTGGACAGCAAGTGTCTGTTACCAAACGTGTAGAAGTTTTAGTGAACAGGTGAGAGGAGGAAGTCAGTGTCTGCG